GCAGCTGCTCTAAATGATTTATTTAAATTTTTCGTAAAACGTTTTTTTAATTGAGCGCTGACATTAACAATTCTAATTTAAATTATATAACTAACTTTTAAAAAAAGTCTTCTTCTTCTTCAAAAAAAAAAATTCGAAATAAAAAATTAAAATTTAATTTTTTACATCACAAAAATAAATAAATAAATTGCAAAAAAAAAAAGTTTCATTTCTTTGTTATTTTTAATGGCTTGAAATAAAAGTAGAGATTTCAGTTTAATATCAAAAGGCTTTAATGAGAAGATAATAGTAAATCTTATCGTGAAGGTGTTTCAAGAAGTATATACAATTCTGATTAATTCAAACTGCTAAAAGTCATTGGTTCATGTTTCATTCAACTGCCAAGTTCATTAACAAATCTAAAATTTCCTCAAGTATACTTGATACTTGAAAGTTGACAAGAAAAACTTTTTTTCACAATTTTTTCCAAGTAAAAATGTATAAAAATTACTTTCAAGAATTTATATATAAAAAAAAAACTTTATGCAGAATTTTATAATTATTTCAAAATAATTTTTCATTTCAATGAATTTTTTTTTATAAAGCGCATTTTGGAACAATTCCAAGTGCTACAAAATTTGTTTTATCATTCATTTTGTGGTTTGTTGTTCTATAAATGTCTGTGATTTTTGAGGTGAACTTGATATCTTTAAAAGAATCTTTTTATATAGTATATATTAACTTAATAATTTTTTTTCAAGGAAACACATGCAAAACATGTTTTTGCATATTTTTATCAAGTTGCGGTAATTTTTGTTTTGAGGTAAAGAGTCATTTCCTTTTTTTTTCTATACAAATATTTTTTTCTAAGTGTTTACTCGATAAATTTTATTTTATTGGGAAAAAGATAGATCGTAGTATATATCTTTGATTATTTGTTAATGTAAATATATAATCAATTCGTGAATGTGAATGACCGGCAAAAAATTGCTTCTATTTTAGTTACTTTATTTATATTGAAGAGAAAAGGCAAATTTATAAAATAAATATTTTAATATAATATTTAAATATTTAAAATATATTTAAAATACAATATTTAAATAATAAATACTTTGAATTCCGAATTTTAATTTGATATTCCATTAATATTTATAATAATTAATTTTGTAATATTAATTTTTATTAGGAGTTGATTCTTATATATATATTTTACTCAGAACATTTGTTTCCTTGACTAGAAATTTTATGATGATAAGGCACGTTATATCCGATTGAGAAATAATGTGACATTTAAACTTCCTAAGAAATTATGTTTCAGAAAGTCTTTTAAAAACATGAATTTACAATTACAATATTTTTTCTGATAAAAGTCAAATTAACAAAAAGAAAAAAAAAATTCATCCTCTATACATAAATTAAAATATAAAGCATTAATAATATATTTGATTTAACTTTTTTTTTTCCTGATTAAATAATTACTTTGTTTCTATATTTGTATTGTGTGATCTATATTTAACAGAAGCTCAAATTAATTATTGTTTTCAATATAATTATTATTTTAATATAATTAAAGAACATTAAATTTAGAATTTCAAATAAATTTTGGAAAAATGATGACAGTTAATGATAAATGTTATTTACATCGGTCAAGAGGTCTGCAAAAAGGATTACGTTAATGAGAATACAGCCATTTTTAAACTCGCGGCTTTTTGATCTCTTTAAAAATACACACGAGTTTTAGTTAATTACAAAATAAATTTTGTGTAATAATAATTTTTTTATTCCACCACACAAAACAATTTGTAAATTAAATTTTCTTTTCTAGTTATTAATTGATTTAATATTTTGAAATATATAATTAAAAAGTATCAATACAAATATATATAATTTCCTTTCTATTGTACGTGAATTATTTTATGTCAGACTCAAATTTAATTGATCATTTAATATCACAATACTAACAAGTGTAACTTTATATTAAATATCTCGAATAATATAGATTTATTCCTTGACTTTCCCTTGGAAAAGCGGTATTTATTATTTTTGTTCATTGGCGTTTCACCAACTCAAAGCACTTTTACTACATTTGTAAAGAAGCGTAATCAGAAAGGCAAGAGAAGACTTGGTTTGATTTAGGTCACCGTGTTACATCACAAGAATTCAAATTTAAGTATATATATATCCTTTTGAAAAAGCTTTCTTCGATATACTTGCAACACAATAAATGTCAATTTCAGATATTGGAAATCAAAAAAAAAAAAAATCAAAAAAAAAAAAATTTACCAATAAAGGTACAATTAATATATTTAATCATGAAATTAATACAACTTGTACAAATTAGTCTTTTAAGATAACAAACATTCTAGTAGGAACTAGAATCAGCTTATAGAGAATTAATTTGTTTGAAAATTAGCACTCTGACCTTCAATTTTAATTGGCGAAGTTATTATTCATTATGACTCGAGTATTTGCCATATTTTATTGTTTTTCATTTTTTTTTTTTATTGTTTTTTATAAAAAAAAAACATTTGCAATATTTAATTCTTCTTTATTTTCCCAATCTTTGAATAAATTCTATAATGTTTTTTTAATTTAAAAAAAATTTTTTAACATAAAAAAATATACATTATTTAGAACTAGTATAAAAATTAATGATTAAGACATTAATATTTTAAATGTCATAAAAAAATAGTCATTTAAATTTTATGGAGCTGTGCATTTCCTAAAATTCAGTGAATGAAAACTTTATCAAGGCCAAATTTCCATTTAGTCGAATTTTATAAACTGCAATTTTCATACCGCGAAATTGTTACTCAACAGTAATTCTATTTAATCCAAGTTTTTTTTTCTTTTTTATAGCAGATCTTCTGCGGATTCACCGAATTTCTATTTTTCAATCGCAATGAAAATTTTATCGAATTCTGCCAAATGAAAATTAATCTAAGAATAAAGTTCGAAGAAATGAAAATCTTATCAAATATTCATTTGATAAATATAGTAAATACAGGTAATAATTATATTAAAAATTCTTAAATATGTAAATATTTTATGAATTGAAAAATTAAAAATTCGTTTGCATTGTAAAATATTGTTACAGAAGTATTATAATATATTGTATGAACCTAAATTCACAGAAAGGTAAATATTCTATTTTCACAATGTTAAATGTTGGTTCTTCTCGGGTTTTTCATATAATGACCTAGGCTGGGATGAAATAATGTTTCAGGTATTCATAGTAAAACTTTCAACATGAAAGTCTATTTGGTTGAAAAACCATCTATTGTTCACATTTTAACTTATACAAGCCGAAATAGCTTGTCTAAAATGATAATTCATTTTCAATAGTTGTAGCAGAAAGGTAATAAAAACCCTTGTTTAGAATAAATAAATTTTCTCAAATTTTTCCTTAACACTTATGTAAAGTGTAAAATAAAAAAGATCTTTTGTTCCATGAAAATTAGTTTCTAAATTTGTACTTTTCCCTATAATACTAAAATGCCTCTTTTGCAATAATATAATTATTATCAACTTAGCTGTCTCGCAAGTAAAGAGCGAGAGAGAGAGAGAAAAAAAAATAATTATAGACGATTTAAAAACTCATTTTAGAAATACAAAGACTAATTATTACTTATAATGTTAAATTTCAAAGAATAATTTTGAAAAATTAAAACAAAATTATTTGTCGAAATTAGATATATAATAGAAAAAAAGAGCCTTTTGTGATAGATTGAAAATATCGATTTTCAAATTACTTGTCAAGCACTTAAGACACGTGTTCAGCTTTAAATTTAAATAGTCGTTTATTTTCAAGCGTAACTGGGGGGAAGTAAATTTAGATCCTGATTTGACCTATAAAAAACAAATAAGCCTTACTTTTAAATCACTTTAAAATCCATTAAAATATACTTTTAAAGAAGTTCAATTTTCTACATTATAACGAAAAAGTAGTAATGTCTTTAAAAATATTAAAATTAAAAAATAGATTTCTCAAATTTTACCAAAAAATTTTTTTCTTTTTTATAAAATTTCATCCTTTTTTTTTTAAGTACATTACTTTTTTTGTCAGTGACACGTGTGAATGTCGTTGCGTACAATTACATAATACGTTGATTATTACACAACGCTGTAACTATCAGGTTAAAAATAATTGTACTGACAGATGCACTAAGGTCAAATAAAAAAAAAAAAAAAAATTTACAAATAAATTTTACTCCAAATTTTTGTTAAAAAATTATTTTTTTAATTTATTTATTTAAATTATTTTTTAAAAATATAACTTTTTAAAATAGACAATTTTTTATAATTAAATTAAAATTAAATTAACGCCCATTAAAAAAATGAATTATAATTTCCAAATTTTGAATTTCAATTAAATTACATAGGAAATTGAGAAATTATGTATATATTTTATTACTGGTAAATTTAACATTCATATATATATAGTAAAACTTGTATGTTTATCAACAATTATCATAAATTATTATTGTTTCTAAACTTGAAAAGTTCAAGAGCTGCCAAGTTTTGTTACACGTGTATTAAATTCACTTTAAGCATTCACTCACAATCGCAACCATTTTCATCGATTTCAAATATACAACTATATAACAGTTTCTATATATATATAGGTCGATTGAATTGTCTCCAATAGTTTCAATACAATCGAACCCTGGACTTTGAATTTTGAAACGACGTCACTCCAAAAAAAAAATTTTATTTTTCAAGGAAACAAATCCAAAAATATAAAATTAGCCATCTCAAATACTGAATTTCGAAAATATCTCCAAAAACCTGTTTTTCAACAGAAGAGAATTTAGAAACAATAATCTAAACCAAAGATTTAGATTTTTAAAACAATAAAAAATCAAAGATGATAATCAACCTCGACATAACTGATTCTGACACGTGCAGACCTCATCTGACGGATTGCGAGACAAAAGGCGCAAGTTTCTGTGATGACTGTGCAAGGTAGAGAAAAAGAGAGAGAGAGAGAGAGGGAGCGAAAAAAAATGAAAGGGGAATACCTTTATTGCACTCGTGTTCCTCAACAACCGGATCCGGAGATGCGGGTGAATCTCGAACATCCAATTCGTTGATAGCTTTGGTAAGCCCGTAGGATTCAGAGCACCATTTCTTCTCCTCCCCAGTCGGATGTTCTTCAGAAGCGATTTCCACGTCGCTGCCATCCTCAAAATAGCCACTCTCGTGCTCCGGATTTTTCATTCTGGAGATAAGTTTCAAACACTCAATACACACACGCACACAAAAATCGAATCCTTCACAATGATTCGTCTTTTTATTGATCGTTAAGATCAAGTTCACCAAAGATCAAGATGACACTCGATGCATTTTTTTAAACAACAATTTCGACTTGAATTTTCCAATTCTCATAACTAAAAACTTCTTTCTCTTTTTTATTATTTTCTTGTCAGAACACAAAATGATGACGTTGATAATTAATTATGATCAACTATTGCGATCACTCGTCTTCTGTGACGCAATGCGGTCAATGGCTACGTTCTCACAAAATGATAAACAAAGTTTTTTTTCTTCTTCTTTTGATTCTTATAAGAAATCATTAAAAAAAAAAAACTTAAGGCAGTTCAATCCGGATATTTGGTAATTTTCTATTTCAATTTAGTAACAAATATTGATTTTTTTTTTAAAAAAATAGTCCAACATGAAAATAAAAGTCGATCAACAAGAAAAACATAAATTCAAAGTTTTAGCGAGAGTCGAGGAAAACGGGATCGTGTCTATCCTACTGACACATTTTCCACTATATAACGGACGGACCCTGTTACATGACCTTCGTATGTCTACTCCTCGAAGATCTAGAGATAGTTTACGTGAATTGCAAACGCCAGAAACACGTGCAAGGCCAAGGATCGATAATCCAAACCGGAACCAAATGCGTCGCAAAAAGTTCTCGATTTCGTAATTAAATAAAAAAAATAAATTAGCTTTCAAAATTAGACCACTTTTTTTTAATAAGGCTCCTTGTACGAAGATCTAATTCTTTCTACAAACTTCTCGCGAATAAGATTTTTTTTTTTGTTGACGAGAGAAAGAACGATATTTGATCGTATGTGTCCTCTTTCCGGCTGATTACAAAACTCGAACAGCCGGTGATTTCAAGAGTGTTACACAGTTCCTTTTTTTTCCAAAGAGTATGCGGGCGTGTTATATTTTTAACCCTGGGGGCAAAAAAAGAAAAAAAATTCCAAGCTATCGACGCTTTAACGACACTTTTTCTGGATCTCTCTTCAAAAATCACTGCACTTCGATCTACAATTACAATAATTGTAAATTATAATAATTATAGTCAACAAAATTTATTAATCCATAAACAAATCGAATAATTAATTCAACACCTTTAATAAATGATGAAAATGATCTATAGATCACACACACACACACACACGAGGGAAAGCGAAAGTCTTTTCGAGGATTTGGGTGGGAAATTACAAAAAAAAAAGAAAAAAATTTTACTTTCACTTGGGCAGATAAAATATCAACAGCTGACATGTATATATGCAAGAAGTAAAAGATCAAAGAGAGGCACTTTGGTTCTTGGTGGATTTTAAAATTCAACACACAAGAGTTACACAGTCTGTTGCGTACAACGTTCAGCTGCCGACTGACTTCAAACTTTAGTCCCACCACCACATAGAGTGAGAATACCCCCCACTTTGAAATGCGGCATGCTTTCAAACTCACCCTTCACGTTTAACAGCTGATTCGGGAAAACACGAAGGCATGACTTTTGGAGTGTAGTGATTTATCTAAGGTATTTAAAATATCGATATATAGGATATAAAAAAAAAAAAAAATCACTGTGTGAAGAAAACTCCTCATCTATAGAACATACCTTGACTAACTAAATGATAATCAATAACTAAATAATAGAAAAATAATGCAAAGACTACAAGCTTGAACTTGTGACCCATTCATTATCGTATTCAGATTTTTTTTTTTTATCTGATAAACAGATCTTAAAAATGCTTAAAATATTCAACATTATAATCAATAAGGGGGCAAAAGTTTTTTTTTTTACTGAAAAAAATATTTTTAATAGAATATTATTATTTTATTTTAAATATCATTTAGTATAACAAACTCTTTTAACAATGACTATAAATAAAACAAAAGAATGTTCAACTATAGTTCCTAGAGTTGGAATAGTACCAACAAATCTCTACATATTTGAATAAGTTCAACTATGATTTTAATTAAAAACAAAATATATTAAATTTAACTAAAAAAAAGAATTAAAAATCGAAATTTCAAATTTTAATTAAATATATTCGTTTCCGTGGTTAATATTTATAAACTTATTCATGTTTTTAGAATTAAAAGAAAATCTACTTTGAGTATTTTCTGAAATTGTATTTTTTATCTACAAAAAGTTCAGAGTCTCTATTAGTTAGAAAAAAACTAGGGTAAACCCTCGAATCTTATCGTCCAACTGGGAATTTCACTATTAGAAAATTTTGTTCGGAATTTTATACAAAAGTGTGTGAAGCAATTATCACATACAATTTTTTAAATTTACAATACATTTTTTGAAATTTAATACAAAATTTTTAATTTAAATTTCAAACACATTTTTTTTTAAATTTCAAACACTTTTCTTTAAATTTAATGTAAATTGTTTGAATAAAATTTCATACATTTTTGTTTGAAACTTCATATAACTTCATTCTAAGTAATTACTTAGAATACTTCAAAAAAAAATTTAATTTTAAAATTTAATTTTTTTATTATAAATAAAATATTTAATATTGTAAAAATAAAATTCTAATTAATAAACAAATTTCCTTGGTAAATATTCATAAATTTTATTCATAAAGGTTTAAAACTTCGTATTAGAATTCAAAAATAAAATCAACCAAGTCAGTGTAAAAATTTTGGGTATTTCCGGAAAATGTATTTTGTTAAAACTACTGAAAATTTATGACTTAAAATTCAGACCTGCGACACGAGAGCGTTAAGAGGAAGGGGACCACATTGAAATGACTATCGTATTGTGAATCTTAATCTTTTAGACTTGTGCCCGCAACGAGTGGGGATTTACCTGGTCATTTCAAGACCAATAACCTGATAATTGTGTTTAGTCTCAAAATTCATTTTTAATTATACAGTCACGTCTAGACTTCATAAAATTTTTTTTAAAATTGATTTACAATATAACACATTTTCAATATAATTTGTAACCAAAAATCATTTAGAAAGCTAATTTATATTACATTTAAGGGACAATATATTTTTTTTTGGAAAATATCGCCCTTTGTAACGAAAAAATATAGCTAATTGAATAATAATTAACATAGAAAATTTAACAAAAGAATCAATGCATACATATATATGTATAAACGTAAACATTAATTAAAGAAGGAATACAAAAACAATTCTGGTGACTCTTTGATCTCTCTCTTTCTCTCTCAATTTCAAAGATGAAATGATAATTGGTTTAGTAATGAGCAAAAACGAAATATATTTTCAACAAGGGGACGAAAAATCTATTAAGGTCATATTATGTTGAATTAAATATCATACTGTGTATGAACAAATCAAAATGATTTATAATTTCTAATGCAGCAAAAATTATTAACAATTTTAAGTAAAAAAAAATCAATTGCTAAAAATGTAATTTAATTTACAATTACTTGAACATTTTTTTTTTACATAATATGTAAATAAATTTTGATACATTAAAAATTATTTTTAAATTTAATGCGAATTTAATGTTTTTTTTTTATTTCTTTAGTTATATAATAAATATTGTGCCTTTTAATGGCTTATGTTATTTGTTTCAATTTAAAAAAATAATGTTTAGTTTCGTTTCTCTAATTCGTTTTAATGACTAGCGATTTAAAAACAAATTCAAACAAAGATTTTGAACAATGAATGTTTAATAATTCTTTAACGACTTCATATAATCATTTTTTAATCTATAATTGTGTATTGTATCTATGTATCTAATAAAACCTTAAATAAACGTTTAGTTGAGCAAACAAAAAAAAATTTTCATTCTTTACATTTAGATTTTTTTTTTTTCCTCAAATAATTATGATTTAAGGTCGTTTGGTATTTTCCAATGTCCCTATAAGCATTTTTTGAAGGATAAATTTCAACACATACCATAAGTGAGAACGTGGGTGACCGTGGTGTCCGTGCAGGTGGTGTTTGAAGAAGCCACAGAGAGTGGTGGTGGTGGAAGGGGCGGTTGCATAGCACTTTCCATCTGGAATCTTTTTTTGTCAAATTCGACACCTGCGAAGCCTCCAGATACCTTAGAATTCTCGTCAGGGGGTGAAATCCCATATGCGAGTACCTGGAATATGTGTATATAATTATTAAAAAGCAAAAATTATATAAGAATCAAATTTTCAAAATTTTATACAATAAACGTTCATAATTCTATGTAATTTTTTTTTTTTTTTCTTCAAAAGATTCTTCGAATTTTATTTTGCTTTAAAAAAATTATTTTTAAAACCCAAGAACAAAAAAAAATGAAAACAGAACTAATAGTGATAAATAAAAATTTCAATTTTTATTATTCAGCAAGCATAAAAAAAGTTTTTCTTCTTTAGAATCTAAACTTTTCAAAATAATTATAATTCAAGGTCGTTAGGTATTTTCTAACTAGAAAGTAAAAGGCACATATATTTTATCTCTAGGAAATGATAAGTTAAGAAATTATTTTCCTCTTTGAATATTTGAAATCTAAACAATACTAATCAAAAGACATTTCATTTTCTAAAATACATAAATCAATATTTAGCCAAGACTTATTTTCAGAAGGAAACAATTTTCATTTTATCAAACAAAAAAAAATTATATATGTCACTATTAGAAATTCTTGATTTTAATATTTTAGATTTCACCATATATTTTTCTTAAAAAATTTTATAGGTATATATTTAAATATAATATATAGTCAATCAACATTTTAAAACAGGTATGTTTTCAAGCATAGATGGCGCAATCTCTGCCTCTCTTTTTATATATGAAATGATCACCCTGTGACTCCAATACCTCCCACACTTATTTAAAGTCATAAAAATCGAAGATTCAATTGATTAATTTTAACAAATAAAATGAGTTCTTTATTCCAATGAAAATCATTAAAATAGATAACTAATTCATTGAAATTGTCATATTTTTTAATATGCGTAGCTCTCTATTTTATAATAAAAAAATATCCTCATGGTATCTCTCAGGTGTTTATCTTTTTAAAAATAACTAGACATTGACTATAGTAGATATAATTACTCACTTTTGTATAAATTCACTACTTTAACATTAAGCACGTGATTGAATCCTTTTGTTTTTATTAATTAAAAAAAAACAAGTAAAATTTTCTCCTTATAAACTTGCACACTGCACTCAATTTGACAGCTAAGATGTGCTCACATTTTAGTATATGTAGTACTGCCTTCTCTTAATGCGCAACCGGCAAGACAACATCTCTCAGGGCTGTAGCAAAAAAATCATAAAATTAGTTCTTTATTTAAAAAACAAAATAATGTTTCATTTTTTAAATTAGATTTTTTCTAATGATTTTAATTTTTTCCCCAACTTTTTTTTCTAATTTTTAAATTCGATTTAATATGATTTTTTTCAAATTCATCGAGAATTTCGAAAATTAGAATAAATTCTCGCGTGTTTTATCAATATTCATGAGAAAATATAATAAACGATTTTTATTAAAAGTAAAAAATTTTTTTTGATAAATTCTTTATATTAATAACAATTATATTGTATTTAACTATATATGTAAACAATTTGTGGATGCAAGTAATAATAGATGTATACAAACAAAAGTAAATCAATAATCAATTTTTAGATATTGAATAATTTATTATTATTCTAACCTTAATTTTCAAATGAAATAAAATACTATTTTTTATATACGAAAACTTGCAAAAAAACTCTTGAATTTGTTCATTTATTGAAATAATTTAATAAAAATTATTTAAATTGAAGAAGAAAAAAAAATGTGAATTGTGGTTTATTAAAATGTGATATTTGCATTAATATAAAGTCACAAGGATTGTTATGGTGAACCTTTGATGAAACGTCACAGTGACAGCTGCACGTGTAAAAGCATATAACCTTATTTGAAAGTGAGGACAAAAATAAGTTGTTTTTTTTTTTGTTATAGTGATTATATGGCATATATAAATATTCAAAAATTAATTATTCTATTTCAGAAATAATTTACAAAGCAGTCGCGAATCTCTATAGAAATCAATATAATTTATTTAATATTTTTGAAAATTAGGTCATGATTTCTGATTTACTTCCATTTTGGTCAAAATATTGGTTTTATATATTAATATCACTTTTTACTTATTCATATATTTTATGGATGATACCGCGTGTAAAATCTAAATTAGAAAATGAAAAACGTAAGAAAATATGCGAAACAGAAACTACAGATAATGAAGAAGGTAAAACTACTCTTTTTTTTAAATTCACTTTTCCTTTCTAAAATTATTTTACAAAATACTTAATATATTATTAAAATTTAATTTCAGAAAAAAGTTACCTAAATGAAGAAGATGACGAACCGGCATTAAATCCAAATTTAAAACACATTCCCTATAATTATCAACGACTAAGTGAAACACAAATGCGAAAGAAAGCTCAACAATTTTTTGAAATTACTAATTCTCGAAGAACATTAAGATTTTTCAGTTCTGATCCAATTCCAAAGGATGTTATTCATAATATTATAAGAGCAGCTGGTGAGAACAAATTTAAAAAATTTCTCTATTTTGAAAATTAAAAATTTATTTTTTAAAAAAAAAATGTGCTTTAGGTACCGCTCCAAGTGGAGCACACACTGAACCTTGGACATTTGTCGTGATTACTGATTTCAATATCAAAGCAAAAATACGCGATATTGTGGAAAGGGAGGAAGAAATAAATTATAAAAAAAGAATGGGTGAAAAATGGGTAACTGATCTTAAATTTTTAAAAACAAATTGGACAAAAGAATATCTTACAACTGCCCCGTGTTTGATTCTTGTATTTAAACAAATTTATGGTATTTTGCCAAATAATGCTAAAAGAGTTCATTATTATAATGAATTAAGTGTTGCGATAGCTTGTGGAATTTTGATCACAGCTATTCAGGTAAGTTTTCTATTTTATTTTTGTCTATTTCAAAAAAAAAATGTATTTAAATTCTTTGTTTTATTTAGTATGCTGGATTAGTAACGCTTACTTCAACTCCATTAAATTGTGGTTCTGCACTTCGTTTTCTTCTAAATCGTCCTACTAATGAGAAGCTTACCTTGCTTCTTCCCGTAGGATATCCAGCCGATGATGCTACAATTCCTCTGTTACATAGAAAACCTCTCTCCGATATTCTCGTTGAAATGGATTAAGTACTTACAATTCCACCTATAATTTTATTTCATAAAATTAAAATCAAGCTTTAATTTTGATACACATCCCTTTTTTTTTAAATAAAATTAATATTTTGAAAATAATAAAATTTCCTTCTTTTTATAATATAAATAAAAAATAAATCACAATACTTTGATTTAAATATTTCCTTTACGATTCGTATGAAAATTATGTGAACACCTCCAAATATTGTCTTTTCAAGTTGTTTAAAAATCTGCAAAAAAACAAACAAATCAGCATTATAATTTGTATAAACTAATATTTATTTTAATGTTGCATACAATGTGTTAAAAATAAGCAGTATAAAAATTATGTTCGAAGAAGACATTATTAAAAATCGATTCAAACTCAAAAATTCATTTGAAATTCGCAGTAAACATTATGCAATTCCACACGATTATTTTATTACAAATCTATTTCGTATTGTATAAATTCAAACAAAAAATAAAAAAAAAAAATAAAATAAATTTAAAGTAAAGAAAAAAAAAACACGGGTTTTACAATCAGTGAGTAGAAAATATATCACCACTGTAGTAGTTTAAATTAAGTACATCTGATATATATATATATAAAATACAAAAATACTGATCTAAACAACCAAGGGCATTATGTTATTAAAAAACATAATAATTGGCAATATCGAATTAGTTTGTTATATCTATACTGCTACCATGAGCTATGTCGTTAAATGTAAAAGCTTGAGTATCATGGTACATTCAGATAAACAAAGAAGTTCTATTATGATTTTACGAGACACTTAAAGATTAATATTATCTCATCCTAGAATATCCAATGTTATTTTTTTTTTCATCTTTTCGTAGGACTCTTTTTTAGAGTTTTTTTTTTCAATCTTAGTTAGTGAAGATCTTAAGAATAGTTGTCGAAATGTAAAATATCCAATTTGTTAACCGTATTGAAGCATTTTTTTTTTGTAAAATTGTAAAATGGACCAAAAAAATCCAACTTTCTTATCTGACAAATAGATTAATTAAACGAGAACTAGGAGAGTATTGTATTTTAAGAAAAAAAAAAAAAAAATTGTAAAACTATTTTTCAGTCATTTCGATGTCTTACGATAGCATCACTCTTAAACTTTATATGATTAATATAATTAAAATTAAGTCATCAATATTAATCAATGTGTGAATATCGTTATTTAAAAATGTAAAAAAATTACTTCCAAATGATCTACGTATTTGTACAATTCGCTGCAATTAATCAAAAAAGTATCGTCATATTTTTTTTTTATTTTTTTTTTTTCTTATATAAAAGTGAGACGAAACTTTTGTTTGTAAATTGTAAATATAAATACATATTTAATCACTTGAGATCATAAATGCCTGAGATATCTAATGCACCATATTGAAAGTTCAAAAAAAAAAAAAAAAGAATGTATTGTTCAATTATCGTTGATCAACAAAATGTTTTTGCATATTGTCTATTAAATACAGAATAAAACTTAAAAATTGAGTATTTCTTAAATGGCAGAGAACATCTGAACTCTTTCAAGGGCATTAGTCAATTAGAATTATCAGATTCATTTTCACCAGAGTCTTCAAGTATGATAATATTACTCAAGTGTCAAAATATCAAAATCACTTTTCATTTAAAAAAAAAGATCTCTATATAAAATAAATTTTCCTTTTCTTTTTTAATTACTTATAAAAACAAGAATTATAAATCTTCATTTTTAAAAAAAATTTCAATAACTAAAAATTAAAATAAAATTTAATTACAAATGAAAAGAAAATTTAAAATAAAAATTAAAAAATATAACTTCTTTTGTAATATTCTATCATATTCTCGGTAATATTATCTCTAATTGTAAAACTATCAAACTCTAGTTTATTTAGCTGCTTTCAAACACAACTGGGTTTTAAAATAGCACGAGATGCCGGAAAAGCGTAAGTTCAAAATACTCTCCTAATTCAAAAGCGTCTGATTATTTCACAGCGATGGGTGGATCGTTGAACTTTTTTTTTTTTTTTTTTTTTTTTCATTGATAGAAAATCAATTCAGTCGCGTCGATGGAATTCTGCTAAACAGAGACTACACGACCAGGAGCCCTCAGGAGGAGAAGAGAGTGGTGGAGACAGACAATACATGTGGTATCCACGATCACAGTCGTCACAGAACAGCAGCTGGTCCTATTTGTTTTTTTTTTATTTCATTAATCATTTGTATTCAATATAATTCTTTTATTGTTAAATTTTTTTTCAAACACTAGTTTTGTGATACGAATTAAAAAAAAAAGCTGAATCCCTAAATAATTCTTTTTTAAAAATTTTTAATAAAAAAAAATCCAAAGTGAGAAAAATTAATTTTCGCCATATTAATATAATGAATAAATTAGATTTCTATCTTTCAATAAAATTTTCCCGGTTTTCAAACAATATTAAAATTTTTTTTTGAGAACGCCATGTATAAATATTTAAATTTAATGAAATTAAGATTAAATATTTTTTTTTCGTTATATTTAAAAATTTTTGTTACCTGCGAAATGTTTTTTTCGAAAATTATTTTGATTACTTACATCGTTGTCAGAGGTACCGCATATGGAGCAACATTTGCATTCAATACATTGCCACCTGTACTTGCGAACAGAAACGATCATGTTTGCAGTAAATTGCAAACAAGTTGGATGACCTACAACAAGAACGTACGAATATGTCATGGGATTTGTTTAGGATCGGTACGGAGGGACATTGGACGAGAAAGGTGCCAGGACATTTATCTTGTGCCGAAGAACAGTGAACTCCAAGCTATTATTTTTTTTTTTTATCATTTTCTTTACGATCAAATTTATTTGTATATCGAGTATCGAAATGAAAATCTGTTTCATTTTTTTTTTCTTGAAAAAAATTTTGAAAATTTTTTTTTTTTTTGTTCACAAAACGCGAATGTCTTTCACCTTTCCTCAGCACTAAAAACGTCCGGAATAATGAAACGCTATCATATTTCCGCACAAAGTATTTTTATTTGATAATACTTGCAATTATCTTATTATTTTTTTTTTTTATTTTTTTTTTGATGTTGCCTTTTGAACATACCGTTATTATTATTATTTGGAGTAATAGGTGGTAAGTAATAGCAGGGCGTACCTTGGAATAGTTCACGTTCTTTCTTGCGCAGCACAATATAAACGTCGCAGATCAGCTCTCTCTCTCCCTCTCTCGCATTCATCATTATCATATCACACTTTCACATATATATGTAATTCAAAAATTATTTTTGCTTAAACACTAGAGTTCATAAGCCTCACGTGTGTAATTACAAATTATCTAATAACAAGTCAATGTCATATACATATAACAATGAGGAACTATCTGCATGCTTTCATATTATACCATGTGAATTTCTATTTTATCTATTTTATATTTATTTTTTTTTTAAAGAAATTAATTTTTTTTTAAAATACTGTTTTTCATTCTCACGCAAGTTCTTTTTAGCATTAGAGATTAAAAAATAATAATAAGCAAATTATTATTATCAGTGCATCAAAGAGAAATCAATTCTCTTTATCAAAATAAAAAAATCTAATAAATGAATCTAAGGACTTTTATAATCAATAAAGCAAATAACTTGTTAATAATTTCCAGTCTCACAGAATCACTTAAAGCGTTTAAAATTGTACACTTAAAATTATTCATATAGCTTAAAAAATAATGCAACATAAACAAATGCTTTTTTTCTTATTACTTTCTCTTAATTTAATGGTTGAACACAACGATTTGGTTCGATTTCCTATTATTTTATTTTTAAAATGTTTTCTCCGAATTTATCAAAACACGATTTTTTCAAAGACAATCCCGTTTTTTGTACTCAAAAAATTTTTTTTAAACATTCATATCTCGGCATTTTTTTTTTTTTTCATCAAAAATCAAAATCTCTATGTAATAATTATATCAGAGTGATATGGTATATAATTATCTAAAAATTTTATGTATTTAAAATAATATATTTTTTTTTTTCGTGAAACTCAGTTACACGCGATACAAGTTTCTCTATTATATGCTATAAATATTGAAATCTTAATTTATCGTGAATTAAAAAATCTTATTTTTACTTTTCTTAGCAATGGTCGTAAAAGATTGGAAAAAAGTTTCTTGTCATGGTCCTTACAAATATGAGTTTTTTGCAGATAGTTGAAAAATTGAAACAAGAATCTAAATCACAGAGTACAAACAGATTGTAAAAAAAAAACTGAATGTACGAATAAAATATCAGTCTCTTAAATAAACAATAGTTTTTCGAATATTTACTGAACAGATAGAAAAGAAAAGAAAAATAAAATATTTTTTTTTTTTTTCTGTGCAACTACATTTCAAACTCGAGTGTGTATGTATTTTTGTACATATATAAGTATCAATATTCTGTTATAAAGAGTATATAAAAAAAAGGATTTATTCTATCGGACCCTCGGGGCTCTTTTGATTACGATTGAAATTTTATTTTATTCACGTTATGGAAAAAAGTTTTAATACACGATCCATAAAAAACAGAGGAAATGTTTTTAATATATATATATATATTTTTTTATCATTTGTAAACGATCCTCTTTTTTTCAGAATATGGCATTTTTTTTTACAAGCCACAAGCATTACTTTTTTAGAAGATTCTTTTTTAAATCAAAATATCTATTTTCTATAGTTTACGTTTAAATATTGTCAGGCTTTGTTTTAAAAAGCAAACATCAATTTTTTTTTTTATATATGATTTTGATTTTTATACAGAACTCTTTGAGATCTTTGAAATATTCTCGTTATTTTTTGTTTTTGAAGATAAAAAAAAAAAAAATCTTTGCAAATAAAAATATTTATATGCAATAATTCTACACGTGAATAGATAAAATTTGTATTTCAAGACTGAAATTTGATATCAAATTTATATACGTGCAAAATCTATTGATTGTATATCAATTTAAAAAATTTACTTTTATTTTCTATTAAAATAACTGATATATTTTTTTTTGTTTGAATACCAAGTATAAAATTGGGCTAGATTAAAGTGTTTTAAATATTAATTTCTATATTTATACAAGATATAATAAAATCTTAATCGATATCATTAGAGATTTATCCCGAACATAAATGCTAGCCTTTTACCATTTTAGGAGTTTTTAAATGGTAAAAGTGGAGTGTCAATGGATTATTTTAGAAGACTCGACAGTGGAAGAAAACGAGACTAATTATCGTGTTTGATTAATTATAAATTGCAAACAGTGCTTTTTCTAGATAAATCACTTTTCGCTAAATTTTATAAAGTTTATGCTTCTTTTTTTTTTAAACGACTAATAAATACTTATAATACAAACTTATGAAAACAAGTTAACACGAAGTATTTAATATTAATTTAATTAATAGGATAAATATAATGCCCAGCTTTCAGCAAATTAGCATAAACTATATAAAACTGTCGGAGCTCCTTGAATGCAAAATTGGAAATAGCAAATTTGCTAAATCGACTAATGATTATAGTTATAAAGTATAAATCTATACAGAAATTTTTTTTTTCTAAACAGAGTTTAAAGAGAATTTTAGAGCTTTCAAAAGAAAACTAATAATTAATTCTAAGAATTTTTTTTAAGATTTTGATTCTAAATTAATTATATGAAGCTCTAACTGAAAAATCCTATCATTCAAATAACAATATTAACGTCCAATATTGTTGACGTTATTTTCTTTTTTAATAAAATCATATTTTCGTAGAGAATCACAAATTTAATCACTAGAAATTAGATTAAATTTTTATTATAAATAAAAAAAAATGATTTTTTTTTTTGCTCATTAGAAGATCATTTAGATAAATATTCTTTTAAATTAATTACGAGATAAATTATTTAATAGTGGAAAATAAGTCAAATTCATCTTTTTCAACAAGCGTTCCCAAGTGATACTGTTTAATAGGAATTTTCTTTTTTTAAAAAAGAAAATTGCAATTAATTTAAATGAAAATAACAGGTAATTCCTATTACTCAGATACAAGTTGCATTATTGACAAATGATGTTTTGATATTAACAACCACTCTATAGGTAAAATTCATAATCATTTTTTCGAAATGCAGATTATTGCGTATTATTTTCGATTTTGCCTATCATCTACAAAATATGTAGGTATTCAACTAACGGTGGTTTTTTTTTCAATATGAAAAATAATACTTGAAAAATTATTAAATTTCTTAATAAAACAATATTCTATGGGAAAATTTATAAAATTCCACCGAAAGTTTCCTATAAAATAGATTAATGGAAACCAATAAATTTTTATTTATCTACAAATGAATTAAAAAATAACTATTTTGAGAAATTTTCATCTTAATGATCTTTAAATTATGGAAATATTTTGGTTTCCATTTTTCCTTCTCTCTAAAATTATAACGATTTTGATCGACGATTTAAAAGAAGAAAAAAAATGAAATTTTTAATTGTGATTCGCTTTGCGCGTGTATTTGCGCTTGACTTTTTCCTCTAGCTTACCTGAACGGCCACAATCACTGCAGGAGACAAGTTCTTCGGATCCACCGGTTTTCTTGTTTTCCCTGGCATCGCCGAGGCAGAAGTCACAATAAGGCGATGGCTGTGCTGATTTGCCAATTTTTTTCTCTGGACCTCCTGGCGTTGGTGGTCCTCCTCCTTCGATTTTCATTGAGGCTTGCATTGAGTCAATGATTCCAGGCGATGGTGCAGTTGGTGGGAAATCGTCCTTAGAAGCTGAGACAGTAGGTGAAGCTGGAGCTGTGTTCATCGGAAGCGGAGGCAGCGGTTGCTGCTGCTGCTGCTGAGGCTGAGGCGGTGCCCCCGCAGCAGGTGTAGCAGGTGCTGCGGGAGAGGGAGTCGAGGTACTTGAGGAAGCAGTGTTCTGACGACCCCGACGTGTACCACCTAATCACAAACCGACCACATACCCAGTTGCGCTTTGCGTAACTAGCCAACAATCATGCACACTGACTAACATAACACTTCTTTTATCTCATTTTTTCAACTTCAATCAAGAAATAATTTATCCCGTCTCATGAATTTGTCTTTAATTATATATTTTTGATATTAATTAAAATTTCATTTTTAATAAAAAATTTATTCCTTTTTTTTAAAAATTAGTTTCATTTTAAAAAAATTCCCAAAGTTGAAAAATATTAATATTTCTTCATGAAAGAATACGTTTATTTTTATTGATTTCAATTTTTTAATTATTAAATATTAAAACATTTTCAAAACCTACTTATTTTTAACACTAAAATTTTATATTGAAATCTAATTAAAGAAAACTGAAAAAAATACGATCATAAATTAAAAAAAAAGCTCATGAAACGAGATAAATTATACAATGACAAAAAAAATATTAACTTGTATGAATAATAAATTAAATAGAAAATAAAACAATGAAAAAAAAAAGATAAAAATAATAGACTAATAAAATTGAATGGCGTGCATTTCATCAATACAATCCATCACCAATAGCCAAACTCAAAGTACAGCATTCCATTTTCTGCTTGAAAAACAGGCAAAATAAATTGCGATGCAAATGTATTCAATTCTACTATAGACACTTGTATATATAATATATATAGTTTCAAGATTGTAATATTATATTCAGCAAAAGATTTAATATAGTTTTTGTTTGTTTTTTTTTTTTTTTTATCTTTTCAGCAAATTAAAAAAAAGATCAGATCAAACTCACATATATATATTACTTAGTAAGCTTCAAAATTATATATATTAACGCGATTAAAAAAAAATGTCATGCTGCAGAAATTTGTAAGAGACTATTGAGTCACACACATACCAAACACTCGCGCATCAAGAGTATTCAAAATACATTGATTAATTAAAAAAGGATCAAGATGGGTGTATTTGCTTTTCTGTAGAATATGAAAAAAAAGTGCTGCATGCTGTAAAAAATTACTGAAAAGTATACAAACGACTTTTATCCGAAAACTGAGACAGCTGCCAAAATTAATATAAAAAGACGTATTCCGTTTTAGTTTATTTTTTCTTTAAATAAAAAAAATTAATTTTTTTTTCAAACAAATCTTATAATAAAAATGTATGCAAATTATATGAAAGCTGAGACAACAGTATACGGGAAAAAAAAACATTAATGAGAAAAAATTCAATTAGATTCATAATTTAAAACACTTAAATTCAAGATTTAAATTTTGGGATAATTTTTAAAAAAGAAAATATTGAATTTTTTAATCTTTAATTTTTTATTGAAAATTTAAATATTTCATTTAAATTTACTATCATTAAACAAATATAATGTTTTGAATTTAAATGTTTTAAAAAGAAGATAATGTTGAAAATGAAAAGCATGCAAATTGAAAAAAATATCTCAAATTGTAAAACATTCAAATTCAAATGAGGAAATATCGTAAAAAATATTTATTAATAATATAATTTTTAAATGTAATCACTGTAGTCTCAGTTTAAAATAAATTACATAAAATGGAAATAGAAAACTAAAATTCTGACAGATGAAAAATTATTGATTATTTAACACTTTTCAGTTAGTTTACAAAATATTTTAAAAAACTGAAAAAAATACTGGTTGTAAACTTTTAGAAAATAATAAAGGAGAGCAGAATAATAGTAATTAATATTTTTATAAAATTGAATTTTTATAATTTAAAATTATTAAATAAATTAATTCATATTATAACTATTAATCTTTTAAATTAGATTTTAAATTATCTTTATCTAATAATTTTTAATAAACTAAATAAATTAAAATCGTTATTATAGAATTAAAAATTAAAAAAATACGAGTCACAGTGGTTTGTAAATAATTGAATGAAATAAAAAGGAATATTTAAAAATATTTATTGCATAAAATTTTTTAATTCAATATTTAATAACAATAAATTATTTTTACCCTCCGTTTTTTTAAAATTAATTGCATTTTAGAATTTTAAAAATTCTATTCCGATGGAATATTTAAAAATTTATTCTTTGAATTATTAAACAAATTTATCAGCAAATGTTCAATTTTTTTGGTTCTGTTTATAAACCACTTTGACTCGTATTTGTAAAAAAAAACACAATTTTTAAAATTACTACATATTTTCTTTCATTTACAATTATTACAATTCACACCGTGTGAAGAAAAATTAATAACAAACAAAAATATTAGAATAATTTTCTACAAAAGAGAAAAATAAAATAAAAATTATACAGCTCTCCTATATATAAAAAAAAAATTATTTTTACAAAAAGATAACTAGCAAGAAATGCAAGCACACATGTTCTACAGAATCGACTAGATTGGAAAAATTTAGGTAAAAAAGAAAGAGTCGCATGAGCAGGATAAATATGTATATAAAAATGAAAATTGGAAATATAAAGTTTGGAATTTAAAGGAAAATGGAGCTCTGGCTCAGAAAAAAAGAGGGTGATAGGTGATGATAATAATGATATTAATGAATGGTGGTGGTTTTGGTGAGTGAGAAAATTGAGCTGATTTTGAGGCTCCAACCTGACTGGTCCGAAACAGCGGCGTCTGCTGTGCTCCGAGATTCAACATCAGCAGGACTGGGACTTAGTTCCTTAGCAAGATCACCGGAGGAAGTAGAGTGGGAATGACCGTAATGGTAGACCAGACCAGGTCTGGTTTTATACCGTGCGCTGCATACTGCAAAAGTGCAAATACTGTTTTCCCGCAAACCACCTAATGCAACGTTTATCGTAAAAAAAGTTTTTCAAATAAAGGGGGTATGGGGGGGGGGAGACAACGTTTGGGAGGAAATCGGTGGATGAGTGTCAAGAGGTTAAGGAAAGCATTTTCACACCTTCCGCACTAGAGCACATCCCTATCCACCTAAAGTTATCTATATGTATATGTGGACAAGCAGTGAAGGAGTTCCAGCCCAAAAAGCAAAACTAATACGATGCAATGCTCGATGCTCGAATACACCTACAGTATATAATATCAGCTCGCTACAGAGTGAGCCAAGGACATTCTTGCTCTGTATGGTTATTGGCAGGTATCAATTATAGTCTGAAGATATTTGATTCAATGTGAATTTACCTCTTTCAATTATTATTATTTTTTTTTTTTAATTAATCGCTTTCAAAAAAGGGCGAAAATCAATTTTTAAATATTTATAATTAAGCAAAAAAAAAAAGAAAACCAAATTTCTTCAGATTTACTGCTAATCTAACAGGAGCGTTTGGGAAGAAGTAAAAAGATTGCAGGCACATTCGAGTTAATCTAAAGACTCTATCTTTTTAAAATTTAATCATACACTCAGAAATGACCATTATACTAATTTTGAAAATTTTAATTATGAAAAAATCAATTTGATAAACAAAAAAACTAAACGTTTGCATCGTATTAAATATTTTCTTAATTTCCATTTTATTTCAAACTTTTTTTTACGACTTTGTGCAAAAAAATTTAATTGGAATTTTTTTTTTCAATTTATAAAAAAAAATGCAATAATGATCATTCCTTGACTAAAAAAAAAAGCTCTCGATAAAATGCAAAAAGTGTCTAAGTCTTTGAAAATCAACTTCTACGATGGTTACTGTTGATCGATTACGCATCACTTTGAATATAATAATTAAATAATTTATTTAATGCAATTTAACTCTCTTATTTATATAATATTCTTTGAGAACTACGTCTAATACGTAGAGATTGTAAAAATATAATTATATATATATTTGTATATATATTAGAACAACAATAAAAACTCCTTTAACGCAGTGCGTTTTTTTTTTTTGTGGCTTAATTTGGATCATTGAATGGTCGAGTTATAACAAAGTCTTTTTTTTTCTTTTTGTGATGGAAAATAAATAATAAAGTGTTCATTTGTAGTTGTATCTATGGTTGAACTTACGGTCACAAACGAATGGTTTATCAGCATCTGTGGCATCGTAGTTAGCCTTCTTACGACCTCTGCCGCCTCCCTATTTGTAAAATAATCATTAAATAAGTTTAATTAAACGAAATAAAATTTTTAAAAAAATAAATATCTTTTTGAAAAAGTTTTCGTTTGTTCTCAAATTTTTTGAAATATTAAGAAACTACCTTTGTCCTCTTCGGTCCTGGACTATCGACTGCTGGAGGATGACTCCTACTTGGATGATGTCCGCCACCTCGTGGTTTTCTTCGTTTTCGTTTACTGCTATAGCTTTCTTCATAATCAAAGTCACTATCTGGATCAGGTTCATCAAAGGCCTCCATATCTAACATGTCTTGTTCATCGTAATACCAACCATCTTTGCTATGCTCATCTGTTCAAATAACATGAAAATATTAATTTCCATCGAAATTTATCAAATTGATTCATATTTTCGTATCTTTAAATAGAAAAAAAAAGAATTTCCACTTTAAGCTATTTTAAAAAATTTCTCCCCAAAAGATTTTTAACAAAGAAATTATTCTTCCCCCCTAAGTTTACCTTTGAGTGCTAAAGATTCTTTACTGTCATCATTGAGGCCAGAGGTGATTTCTACATGTTCAATTCCATCATCAATGTCACCTCTCACTCGTTTTGGATGAAGGTAATGCATGAGATATTGACGTCGTTTTTTCCTCCATCGTTTGCTTGGATATGTGTAAATTTGGCCATGTAAAAGCCCAGGTATTCGTTCTCTCGCAGACATGAACAGCGCAGAATGATTCTGTGCCACACCTGTTAAATAATAATAATAATAATAATAATAATAATAATAATTTTAGAAAAAATTGTAAACATTTAACAAAACTAATTTTAAAAAAATATTTTTTATTTCCAGTTAATAACAATTTTTTTTCATTCAAATAAATAATTGTAAGCATCTATGGAGGTCACTGCCCTCTTATTGATTTTCCCCTCCATGAGTACATATATATATATAGAGCACTTTTCTAAATTTTTTTACATTCTTTCAAAATAAAAATCGTGAACGCAGCTTTTGAAAAATATTAAAAATTTCCAAATTTTAAAGAAAGAAAAAAAAAAGAAATGTCAAAATCCCCCTTAAATTGAATAATAAATCTAATTTTAAAAAGGTTAGGAAAAATTGAGTTATTTAAAAAAAAATTTAAATATTCAGTTTAGTTACCTGTCTGTGAGTCTAGAAAAGGCATTCGTAGTCTCCGTTCCCTGCATAGTCTTGTGTTGTAATTAGAAGAGTTCTCAATGGCTTCCCTGTACGCAGTGTCGTTGAGAAAACTGAAATCAATGAATTTGACGTTACAAGAAACACTGATGATGAAAATACACATTCAATAAATAAAATAGTGACATACCTTTCTATTTTTCCTAAATTTGACTCATTCACTACTTGAATAATGGAATGAACACTCGGTGGAATCGATACAGCCATCATTTTTGCTAACAATCATCCATACTTGGCTTTGGATGTCCGAGGGATGTGGCTTCTTTCGGAAGTTGCTCCTTGTTCCCAGCAGCAGCGCCGCCAATATGAAAACGTTAAATTAAACACGATTACCAACTTAAAATTTTATATATATAAAAAAATAACATATGTCAAATTTGAAAATATATTTTTTTATATTACAATTTCAATTTTAAAATATATTTTATTTTATTTAATTTAAATTATAATTTAATTTATTTTATTTTATTTAAATTATAATTTAATTTATTTTGAGGTTTATTACACATTTAAAAAATTGTATTTAAATTTTGTTTATTTATAATATTCGAAAACAATAATTATTTATTTACTTAAATATTAAGTTAAGAATGTATTTATGATTTGTTTTTAATCGCTTTTGAAGTTTTTATATAATATATAAAATTATTTTAAAAAATTGTAATATTATATTTTTGATTTAATTTTTCAATATTATGAAAATAATGTCATGAAAATAATTTGTAAATAAAAATTTCGCTTTAAGTGAGCGCCCCTGACAAGATGCAACCAATTATACGTGCTTGTTACTAGTGTTAACAGTGAAAATTCTAAATATATTTTAAATTAATAACAAATTTATTTATTTAAAAAAGACGATAATAAATAATGCCAATTCCACACTGAAAAAAAAAATTTATTTGATTTAAATACCGGTGTATTTGGTTATTATCAAATAAATATTTACTTGAATCAAATATATAGTATTTTACTCAAATATTTCAGTATTTGAAGCAAATACCATTTATTTGATTCAAATAAGAAATATTTGATTCAAGTAAATATTTATTTGATAATAACCAAATACACCGGAATTTGAATTTTTTTTTCAGTGCACAATATTATAAAATCAAATTCTCTTTGATGACCAGAAAAGAATAAAAAAAAAGTTTTAAATAAACAATTTTTCCATATATTTTTTTTTTCTGAGCTTAACGTTTGAGGTAGAATATCATTTCTGAAAATACGTGATTTTTTCAACTCGTTTCGTTTGGGTTACTCTGAACCACTGGAACACATAAAGGGAGTGCTAATTAAGCTAATGAAATAAGCGTCACTCAGAGAGTCTTTGTTTTTATTTATTTATTTTTTTTTTTAAAAAAACTTTTTTCCTAGGAAAAGAGAGAATACAAAATGCAGAAAATATTAATGTGAATTCTCATGATACACCATAAAGTAGGAAAAAGAGTGTTTCATTCAAAATCCATCCGGCGGATACAATAAAATAATAAACAACTACTTTTATTCGTCATAAAATCTTTTGTCATTATTTTCACAAAAAAAAAATATCGATTTTATAAAAAAATGATTTAAACAAAAACAGATTTATTTAATTTGTGTAAAAAAAAATCTTTAGAGAAGAAATAAAGGTTGAAAAAATATTGTTTTGATAATAGCACTCTTTGGAGTTTGAGGACAATTGTAATCAATAGGAAATAATCCCATGGTGGCCCTTGAAATAAAAGTTAGAAAAACACTTCGTGTTAAAATTGAATCTTATCTCGAGAGAGAGTCGTCTATCGAAAGAATCTAATTGACTTTAATTCGCTTCATCTGATTACCGCGTTCTTCCGTCTAAAACCTGGATTTTCTGAGGATTTACCAAGTGCATTTGATAATCTTATATCAAGAATCTACATCCTTTTATCGATTTTACTCATCTTGCACTTCCTGATTGAAGCAAGGAGTTTTTTTTTTTTAAATTCTTATTCAATATTATGATGATTTTACAACAAAAATAGGTTTTTTAAAATTATTTTATCAATTTTTTTTTCCTTTTAATATTAATTTACTAATTATAATAGATGAAAATTTTATAGATTATCTGTTGAAAATAGTAATATGATTCGTGAAATAGAAACGAAAAAACAGAAACTTGGCCTGGCTCCCAGTTAACAAGAAGAAAATATTAAAATTTGAAAAACTATTTACGATTTTAAAACATTTCATTAAATTGTTCACAATATCCCTTGATTAATTATTATACACCTTGATTATATATCGTACTTATAATTATGTACTGATATTAATTGAAAATTAATTTTATCACCGACTTATCTCTCTCATGACCCATATTTGATTAATTCTATTATTAATCTATTATCTCATCAATCATTTTTATACAAGACTAAGAAAAAGTTAAAAAAAAAACCAAATAAATAATTAATTACCCAATTAAAAGAATTTTACAAATGATCCACAGATTATCATTTGGTAAAAACGATTTGTATATACGATTCATCAAACCGCAGTGGGTATATATTTTATATTAATGTGTTTTATATAAAAATACTTTCAATATAATTTAAAAAAAAAAAAATTCTTTGAAGCTATTAAAGAGTTTTTAATGATGAGAATTTTGTAAAAATTAAATTTCCAATTAATTTATAATATAAAAATTGTATTTTTAATATAACGATTTAAAAAATAAAATCCTAGCGATAATATAAATCACATTTATATTAAATTACTTTTACACAAAGCAATAAAAAGAAAAAAAAACATATACAGAAATCGTTTATGTAAAACTTGGAAAATTCATGTAACGTGTAACACATTTCACACTGGAATTTCTATTAAATTTAAGTCAATTTAATTTAATTTTATCACAGTATGTTATACAGGTATATTTGATTGATTGAAATATGGTGATTTACCATTTTATGAAATCATGAAAGGCCTGTGGGCAACGTATAGCCGAACATTTTCAATGCAAATGACACATTGAAATCATACCCGGAGGAATGGGGTATATATATATATAGTTGGACGGACGGAAGTGGGTGAGTGTATCTGCCCTAGCGCAATCAATCGATCTATGATGGGTTATTAATTACCTATCTTCCCACATCGACGATCAAACTACCCTCAAGGGACATTGGTCGACACGAATATTACATTATCCTTTCCATAGGATCTGTTAACAGATTTTAATATTATCCTACTTCCGGTCTCCTTCCCTCACCCACTAATTTTTTTTTCTCTTTCTTAATTAACATTTGTTTCCATCGAATTGAAAATTTCATTAGAGATTTAGGAACGTGCCAGAAGATAGCAACGCCATTTCGTTTTTTTGTGCTAATTTGTGCCGCAAAAAGTTTTTTGAAAAAATCAAAATTATGGGGCAAAATTAAAAAAAAATTTTTTTGATGAACCAAAAATATTATTTTCTTATAATAGAAAACAAATATTAGTGATCAATACTTTCAACTCATTACAATAAAATGCAATCAACAAAGATGATAAAAAAAATTTTTTTAAATGAAAAATTACATAAAAAAATTTTTTCATAACCCCGACATTATGAAAAACACAAATTTTTTAGAAATTATTTCTGTGCTGAATATTGTACAAGATTGGCATTAAAAGACCCTCCAATAACAATTTTAAAATATTTGTATATTTTTCAAAATAATTCAATTTTTAATTAAATAAACGTACCTAAACCTGACAACTTCAAAAGATAATATTTTTAGAAAATTATTTTTGTGCTGAATTGTTCATGACCAGCACAAAAATAAACTCTAATAACATTTTTCAAAAATATTTACATTTTCCAAATCGAATCAATTTTTATTTTAACAATAACAATCATAACCAAAAATTTAAAAAAATAATAATTTTTAGAAATTAATTTTTGTGCTGAATTGTGCGTAAACAGCACAAAAATAAACTCTTATAACATTCTTTAAAAATATCTATACTTTCCAAAATAACTACATTTTTAATTTAACAATAACGATAATAACCAAAAATTTACAAAAATAAGAATTTTTAGAAACTAATTTTTGTGCTGAATTGTTCATGAACAGGACAAAAATAAACTCTAATAACATTTTTTTAAAATATCTATTTTTTCCAAAATAACTAAATTTTAAATTTAACAATAACGATCACAACCAAAAAATTTTCAAAAATAAGAATTTTTAGAAACTAATTTTTGTGCTGAATTGTTCATGAACAGCACAAAAATAAACTCTAATAACATTTTTCAAAAATATTTATATATTCCAAATTAACTCAATTTTTATTTTAACAATAACAATCATAACCAAAAATTTTTTAAAATAAGAATGTTTAGAAATTAATTTTTGTGCTGATTTGTTCATGAACAGCACAAAAATAAAATCTTATAACATTTTTTAAAAATATCTATATTTTCCAAAATAACTAAATTTTTAATTTAATAATAACAATCATAACCAAGAAATTTAAAAAAAGAAAATTTTTAGAAACTAATTTTTGTGCTGGATTCTTCATGACCAGCACAAAAATAAACTCTATTAACATTTATAAAAATATCTTTATTTTCCAAAATAACTAAATTTGTAATTTAACAATAACGATCACAACTAAAAAATTTTCAGAAACTAATTTTTTTGCTGAATTGTGCATGACCAACACAAAAATAAACTGTAATAACATTTTCAAAAATATTTATATTTTCCAAATCAACTCAATTTTTATTTTAACAATAACAATCATAACCAACAATTTAAAAAAATAAGAATGTTTAGAAATTAATTTTTGTGCTGATTTGTGCATAAAAGTCACAAAAATAAACTCTTATAACCTTTTTTAAAAATATCTATATTTTCCAAAATAAGTAAATTTTTAATTTAACAATAACAATCATAACCAAAAAATTATCAAAAATAAGAATTTTTAGAAAATTATTTTTGTGCTGAATTGTGCATGAGCAGCACAAAAATAATCTCTAATACCATTGTTTAAAAATATCTATATTTTCCAAAATAACTAAATTTTTAATTTAACAATAACGATCATAATCAAAAATTTACAAAAATAAGAATTTTTAGAAACTAATTTTTGTGCTAACTTCTGGCACGTGATTTAGAAATTTTTAATTGGCTTCTATTAAAAAATATTTTAATATTCAAATATAAAAATATTAAAATATTATAATAGGCTTCCAGAAATATTTTAATTTTCTAATAAAAATATTATGATATAATAAATATATTATTAGCTCGACTTGATTGAATTTAAAAAAGATGAAGCTTCAATAATTCTTGCATC